GGCTGAGGTTCCAGGCCAGCCTGGAGACTCTACCTCAGCAAGAAAGCTACAATGCAGTGCCACACACCTACCATCTCAGCACAATGGAAAGTGTAAAATCAGAGGATCATAGTCCAAGCATAGGCTTAGGCAAAATGCAAGATCTGATCTCACTTTTAACTAATTTTAACTAGTACAAAAAAAAAAAAAAAAAAAAAGGCTAGAGGCAGGTCTCAGAGATAAAGTATCTACCTAGCAAACATGAGGCCCTGTGTCCAAATCCCAGAACCAAGAAGAGGAGGAAAAAGAAGAACCACCACCACCACCATCCCCAGCAAAGATGAAAAATGACACAAACTATCCAATAGTGGTAGGAAGGGAAACTGAGCAAGAAGAAACTATACTGAGACTGAAAAATGTTAAATATTAAAAGAAACAGCTGCCCTTAGTCATAGGTATAAAAATGACCTCATCCTAATCCCAACCCCTGAACTGGCTTACGTGGCCTGGCAAGAGGGAATAAGGTAGTAGATGAAACCAAAACGCAAACCATCTGCCCTGAGAAAGCAGCCTGGGGAAACCAGGGTCGCATGCTGTCCGACAGGTCCTCTCAAGTGGAAGGAGAAGGAGGGAGGGGGAGACTCAGAAATATGGCAGCCTAAGGGTAGTTCAGCCAGTGTGGCTGGCTTTGAAATCAGAGGAAGGAACCACCAGCAACAGCAGCATGATCATAAATCAGTACTGTTCTCCAGCTGAATCTGTGGTTACTGTTGCACAAGTGACAGGAAACAAATACATCCAGTGTCTCTCCACTCTCTCTGACATCCAGCCCCTGTTCCTAGCAGATGGCTCAGGTGACCCAGAGAGGCCCATTTCTCCTCTGGGAGAGAGCATCATTGCTCCACTCTCCCCTCACACACTCTTCCCTAAAAGAAGTCTGACTTATCAGATGGGTAAATATGGTTAAATAGGCGTTCCTTTTTCCTCAGACACAATCTGCTTTTCCCAGGAGGCCCTCCACACCTGGGAGAAACCATCCAGGTCTAGCTTTGAGCCCACCAGACTTCTTGACTTGCCCCTGTATTCACCTCTTTTTATCACAAAGATACTATATCTAACCACAGTCTTCCTGATACTATTTGTTTTAATTTGTTTAGAATTCAGTAGTTGGGGAAAATGCTATTTAAATGGAAACCATTCCCCTAAACAAAAAAAGCCACCAACTACCTTCATGTATTAAAAAAAAATTAATACATTTAGTATGGTGCCCAGAAAGCACAGGATAAGTGGTAAAAGAAGGAGGAGTTAGGAAGAGGAGAAGTAAAAACGATGATAAGATACTGTTTGACCAAAATAAAAGTTAAACACTGTTAAACACTGCTGTTTACTGCTCACCTGATCATGGCTAGGAGGGACTGTGGAAGCATTTTATCTCCCCTCTTCCGAGAAGGCTCATGTCATCCCTAGAGGTTTAATAATGGGTCCAAGGCCACAGTGGCTATGAAGAACAGAGCACGTGTGTCACTCTAGATTGTTAGGCTCAGAGCCAATGTGTCATACCCCTAAATGCCCTGTATACAGCAGATTCTTCCTAAATACTGGATGATTCATGCAGAGGTCACAGAAGACCTCTGGAAGTAATCTTTTTTTTTTTGGTCTGGTCGTGGGGCCTGAACTCTGGGCCTGGGCGCTGTCCCTCAGCTGTTCAGCTCAAGGCTAGTGCTCTACCACTTGAGCTACAGCGCCACTTCCAGCTTTTTTCTTTTTGCTTATGTGGTGCTGAGGAATTGAACCCAGGGCCTCAGGCATGCAAGGCAAGCGCTCTACCGCTGAGCCACTTTCCCAGCGCCTGGAAGTAATCATTTTAAGCCAACAAGATACATTGAGCTGGGAGAATGCTTGGAGATCATCTATTCAGTGGCCAAGTTTTACAGTCAGGAACACTGAGGACAATGAGAGAAAACAATGAACCCAGGGTCAACCAGTGAGTAAGGATAGAATGAAGACCAAATTGGTAGTGGAGAAGTCAGGCCTCCTGGCTCTGAGTCATTCCTTTCCATGTGATATGGGTCACTCTCCTGTATCCCTGTCTGCAGTAACAATGTGCTCACCAATACTGGGTTTAATATTCTTTCCTTTCCCAGTACAACCAATTCTAGCACTGGATGGCAAGGCAAGGAAAGCTCTCTGAGTTAAGTGGACATAACAGGGGAGTCACACAAAGGTGCTATAGAAGCAATGAGTTCCAGCCACTGGGGGCTCAGGCTGAGCAGTCACAGGCCAAGCCTGGAGGGATCTGTACTGACATCATTCATCATGTGTTCACCACACGCTGCAGCAGGGTTCAAACGCCTGCTCTGACTCCTACCAGATGCATGACCTGGACAGATAAAGTACTCCCAAGAGAGTTTCCTCATTTGTTAAATGGGGATTATGACTGTATTTCCCTCATTAAACTTTTATGCAAATTAAAATAATAAACTTACATAGAATGTAAACCAGTGTTTATACAAAATAGACCAATATCCAAAGTTCAGTCACCTTTAGAGTACCACTGTTGTTAAAATAGTAGTATTAAGTATTCACTGAGTGCACTGTGTGAGCACAAGGAATATAATAAAAATTCCAGCTTTCATAAAGTTTGTAATCTATTGTGGAGGAGACCATAATAGACAAGTAAATGAATGGAAGAATCTTAGAAGATACAAGGTGCCACGGAAATAATAAAACAGGATGGAGGTGAAAATATAGGAGTAGAGTCACATCATGATTTTGTCATGATGCATCAGGAGCAAGACATTCACAGCAAGGGGTCAGGCCATTCTCCAAGAACATGTCAGACATGTTAGATGACAGAAACTAGAAAGGCCAGTAAAAAGAGTTAAGACTTAAAACAACTAAATAACCTCAGAAGGCAGGAGGAAGAAGACTAGCTCCACTAAGGTAATGACTATAAAATCATAGGAACAGGAAGGAAGGAAGGAAGGAAGGAAGGAAGGAAGGAAGGAAGGAAGGAAGGAAGGAAGGAAGGAAGGAAGGAAGGAAGGAAGGAAGGAAGGGGGAGGGAGTGAGGGAGGGGCGGAGGAAGGGAGGGAGGGATGGAGGGAGGAAAAAGACCCATAAAAACACTAGAGAGCTCAGAGACAAAGCCAGTCTGTAGACCTCAGTGAAAAGTGAAGGTGGCTTCACAAATCAATCAGGAAAGAAAAGGCCATGTAGAGAACACAGTGCTAGAAAATTCACCTTACTATGAAGAGAAAAAATGAAAGTACATTTTTTCATCCCAACAAATACACAAGCTTAAATACATAACAGAAAAGCTCAATACTACAATGTGAATAGAAAAAAAATGTAGGAGAAGCTTACTAAAATCTAAAATCAAGAAGGAATTTAATAAAGGAGACTTTAAAGTATAAATCATGTGCCAAGCAAGGGGTTAGTTATGATAGAATTAAGGATTCCTGTTTAACAAAGGACATGATGGATAAAGTTATTAGACAAGTAACTGAATAAGAGGTAATATTTTAAGTCTAAAGGTAATAAGAGATTAATATTTACTGAAAAGAAATTAAATCCTCTTTAAGGGAGCTAACATTAACCAAAGCCAGTATAATAATTTACATGTAATGTAATTCAATTAAATTAAAATACAGAAATGCAAAGAAACAGGGCAAAAATGATCAAACTCAAAAGAAAAATAGATACTAGTAAGGTATAGTGGCTCACATCTGTAATCTCACCTGCTTGGAAAAAAAGTCAGTAGAATCAGTTTGAGGCCAGCCCTGACAAAAAGTCAGTAAGACCCCCATCTCAACAAACAAGCTAGACTAGGTCCAGTGCCTCAAGTCTGTAATCCTAGCTACTTAGAAGTTGGGAGTTCAGAGGATCACAGTGCAAGGTCAGCTTGGGCAAAAAGTTCTGGAAATTTCATCTCAACCAATGACTGGTATGGTAGTACATGCCTGTTATTCCAGGTACTAGGGAAGCAGAACAGCTAGGTATACTGGCATGTATCAGTCATCCTAGCAATGTAAGGAAGCACCAATAAGAGGTCAAAGTCCAGGCTGGCCTGGCCTAGGCATGAAGAAAATGTGACCCTATATCAGCAAATAATCAACACAAGCCAGGCACTAGTGGCTCACACTTATAATCCTAACTACTCAGGAGGATGAAATGTGAGGATCAAAGTTCAAGGCCAGCCAGAGCATAAAAATCCATGAGACTCTTATCTCCAAATAACCAGCAAAAAGCTAGAAGTGAAGGTATTGCTAAGTGGTAGAACACCAGCCTTGGGCACAAAAGCTCAAGGATAGTGCCCAGGCCCTGAGTTCAAGCCCCAGGATCAACACAACAAAGAGTAGAAGAGAGGGGAGGAGACGGAGGGGAGGGGAGTATAACAATCTTACACTAACTCTTCAAGAGAAGGGAAACCGAAGGGCCACTTCCCTCATCATTAGGTAGTCTCAAGAGGGAGGAATCTCTCAGCCATCTTCCTTCATGAACTTACTCATCAAAATCCCACATAATCAAATGTAATGACAGGTTAAAAAAAGATACCCTAGCCAACCAGGGGTACACAATTAGTAGAACATCAATATCCATACAGGAATCATACAGGCCTACTGCAAGAGAATAAGAGTGGGAACAGGGCAAAAAAATGTCAGCAAGGGGCTGGTGGGAGACAATTCCTAACTGTACCTAGAAACAAGGAAACACCTTGTATACAGAGCCAGACTGAGTGGCTGCAGCCTGGCTGACTGCAGCAACTCTTTTGGGGCCAGCCGTCTATCAAAGCCTTCTTTCACCTAGGGGAAGAAGTAGAAGAGATTGGATATATCTTGTAGCCCCTGGAGGTATGACCTCTGACTCCATTCTCCTCTAGCTGATCACCACCACCCACCCAGCCCACTTCACAGGCTGACAATGGGAGACTGAGGAGTCCCAGAGACCCCCTGGAGGCCGTAAGGGACTGAGCAGCACGCACTCTTGGGAAAGTCACCATCTTTGCTCAGCAAGCTCACCTGAGAGGAAGAGCCTGGCTGTCCTGCTGCTTGAAGGTTCTTTCCAGTAGCTCCTGGGTGGTCTTTGAATTCCCACCAGACAAGTGCATCTTCCAGGGTACCGCTGCAGGACCATCTTCTGCTGAGCTGTCCTCTGAAGGACCCCTCAGCTTGAGTCTGTCCTGTAGGGGCTGCTCTTGTCTGCTGGGGGTAATTTCCAGCTTCTCCATGATGGGTTTGCTCTGCTGGCCTGGGGGGGTCCTGGAGACAGAACTGCTGCCGGAAGCCAGTACCCCCTGAGAGCCTGCATAGGCCGGGGCAAGGGCAGAAATCTTGTGTACCAATGGCCTTTCCTCCTCTGTGGGCTGGGTCTTGACGTTTGAGGGTGGAAATCGCCTTAGAGAGCGTTTGCGCAAAGAGTCCTGAGGGGCAACCACAGAGGCAATGAGGGTCCCACCTAGTGGAGTTGGAATAAATACATCTATTTCCCCCATCTCCCTTCCCCAGAGGGGCCTGCTCCCTCTCCAACCCCTTCTTTTAACATCCTGCCAGTCCTGGGAGGTGTCACTCAATGCTACCACCATGGAAAATATAGACTCCAGAGTCCATAGCCCTCCTTACACCATTACTACAAGGGCCTCAGCTGGAGGTGGATGGGGTAGCAGCCATGACTTCCCACAGGTTAGACATGAACTGAGAGCCAACACCTCCCACAGATTGGAGATGGACAGGATGGCAACCATCATCTCCTATGGGTTGGAGGTGGATAGAGTGGCAGGCATAACCTCCCTTGGGTTGGTGGTAGACAGAATAGTAGCCATCACTTCCCTCCAGTTACAGATCAGTTGGCTGGAGATGGATGGAGTGGTGGTCATCACCTCCCACAGGCAGGAGGTGGATTGGGGGTAGATAGGGTGGTGGCCATCACCTCCCAAAGGTTGCAGGTAGGTGGAATGCAGCCCTTATCAGAGCAGGCATCACAGGAGTTGGCAAACCTTTACTGTTCCCCATCCCCAGTAACACTCAATCTCAGGCCCCTCTAGATGGTGAATCAGTAAAGGAAAAGACCGCCCTGGGGTCACACTCAAGATCTGATTGGTTTTGGGGGCTGGGGATGTGGCTTAGTGGTAGAGTGCTTGCCTAGCATGCATGAAGCCCTGGGTTCGATTCCTCATTACCACATAAACAGAAAAAGCCAGAAGTGGTGCTGTGGCTCAAGTGGTAGAGTGCTAGCCTTGAGCAAAAGAAGCTCAGAGACAGTGCCCAGACCCTGAGTTCAAGCCCCAGGACTAGAAAAAAAAAAAGATTTCATTGATTTTTTTGAAATAAAAGAATCGGGTGAAATTGCCTTCCTCCTGTCTGTGACTAACTAGGGGAATCAGTGCTCCTCTTACTCATCTCTGGGGGTGGGACAGTAATGGAAGTGAAGGACAAAAATAAACCTACTAGGCATTTCCTTGGTTTAGGTTTTTTTCTAGACCTCTCAGCATTTCCAAAAACCAGAAATAATTCAGTGCCAAATGGTCAGCTGGACTGGAATGAAGAGAGCTAATTATGTAGATTCTGGTGTAATGGAATCTGTAAACACGCTCCCAAAGTTGCCAGGGCATCCTGACAGAGTCAGGAAGGTATTAGTCACCCCCAAGGAGCCCTGACACCTCACCCTCAATCACAAAGCTGGCCTGGTAGTGGAAATGATGACATGCCTAACCCACCTTGGCTCTTTTCTCCTGGGCAACCAACAAATGTGGCCAAAGCACCAAAGAGCTTCCAGAATATCCGGGGAAAATCCAGCTTCACATCTTTTGATGCCCTTCATAGGATTCAGGTTTCCTGGGAAACCTTGCCTCCCAAAACAGTTACCAAAAGCAGAAGCTGTCGGCCACACCCTGAGCAGTACAGTGGGTCCAGGTTACCAATACCACCGCAGAAACAAAGTACACATACCGAAGAATTAAATGTCACAACAGACAGGACCTGGTGTTCACTGGCCCACCAGTTCTCAAGGTGTGGCCCACTCACCCCTGAGGTTCCCCACACCCTTTTTGGGAACTCAAAACTATTTTTGTTGTCATTGTTACTACAGTCATTGCTTTTTTTTATTTATTTTGTCGGTCGTGGGGCTTGAACTCTTGAGCCTGGGTGCTGTCCCTGTACTCTTCAGCTCAAGGTGAGCGCTCTACCGCTTAAGCCACAGCACCACTTCTGGTTCTCTAGTGGTTATATTAGAGATAAGAATCTCACGGGGTTTCCTGCCCGGGCTGGCTTTGAACCGTGATCCTCAGATCTCAACCTCCTGAGTAACTAGGATTACAGGAGTGAGTCACGGGCGCTCAGCAGTCATTGTTATTTTTGTGGATATGATAATAATGCATCCCCCAGGGCCTGGTTCCCAGTGTGCAGGTGCTGAGTAAAGCCCAGCACAAGGAAGATAGGTCCACAGGCAGCAACTGCAGAAAGAAGTGGTACAGGTCTAGATTCATTATTGCAAGAAAGAATTTTTATACAAGGAAACCTGAATTCCTGATCCACATACATGCCCATCTCGTTCACAAGCTCTCTTGTCCTGATGCCATCCAGCAGGCTACAAGGCAACCAGAAGCCCCTCATAGAAGCTAAGCAGATGGGGCCATTCAAACATGGCCTCTCAATCTTTAAATGTGAAGAAGCAAAAAGAAAGAGAGAGAGAGAGAGAAAGGAAGGAAGGGGGGGAGGGAGGGAGGGAGGGAGGGAGGGAGGGAGGGAGGGAGGAAAAAAGAGAGAGAGAGAGAGAGAGAGCAGGGCACCAGTGGCTTATGCCTAGCTACGCAGGAGGCTGAGATCTGAGGATCACAGTTCAAAGCCAGCCCAGGCAGGAAAGTCCATAAGACTCTTATCTCCAATAAACCACTAGAAAACCAGAAGCAGCGCTGTGGCTCAAGGGGTAGAATGCTCGCCTTGAGCTGAAGAGCACAGGACAGCACCCAAGCCCAGAGTTCAAGCCCCATGAACGACAAGAAAGAAAGAAAGGAAAGGAAAGGAAGGAAGGAAGGAAGGAAGGAAGGAAGGAAGAAAGAAAGAAAGAAAGAAAGAAAGAAAGAAAGAAAGAAAGAAAGAAAGAAAGAAAGAAAGACAGACAGACAGACAGACCTTTTGGCTGGGAATAAGGCTTAGTGGTAGAGTGCTTGCCTAGCATGCATGAAGGTTCGATTCCTCATTACCACATACACAGAAAATGCCAGAAGTGGCACTGTGGCTCAAGTGGTACAGTGCTACCCTTCGGCAAAAAAGCTCAGGGACAGAGCCCAGGCCCTGAGTTCAAGCCCCAGGACTAGCCAAAAACAAAAACAAAAAACTCTTTCCTTTTATCCAGAGTCAGGCATTTGGTTATGGTTACGGCAATAGAAAACTTATTCAGACAGTAATAACACTACCTCTTTGCCTCCATGATGTTGCCTGCATATACACAACAGTGGGAAAATGCTGGCCTGCATCAAAAATCAGGGTGGCAGTACCAAATGTCACATGGGTTCTAGGTATTCCTCAGCCCCATGCACTGGCAATAAAAGGGAATAAATAAAATGCTAATTTCACTTGAGAAAATCCATACTTAAGCATGAATGCTATGAACCTCATTCAGTCTAGTCAGAGCTGCAACCATCTCTTCTGTAATGGTCTGCTAAGTATAAAGGACTACAGTCAGAACTTCTGCAACTGTCTGCACAGTAACTGCAGCTGCTGCTATTTTCACTCAACTACCCAGAGATGAACCACCAAGATTGACAGGGGTATGGGGCAGGCATTTCATGAAAATAAATTGCACTTGTCACACCAAGGGAAACACATGGTATACTGTTGTCAGTGTTAAGACACAAACTGCTGAGTAAAAATCAGAATCTTGGAAAAACCTATCTGCCAATGTTGGCTTTAAAGTACTTAAAGACGTTTCTGAGATGCTGGGTGGTGACACCAACAAACGAGATATAGATATAGTGAAATGTATCCGTATCTGGACAATCCACACAACTCAGTAACCAACATTATCCAAATGACCAAGGCAACGTATTAGGAAATCATGCCAGGATAAAGGCTTCAAGGGCAAGTGGACCAATGGAAACTGATGTATTACAAAAAGCTGATTCACATGGCTTAAGTTTCTACTGAGCTTTGAGTATCAGTTTGAAGCCAACTTGGGCAGGAAAGTTTCTAAGACTCTTACATCTAATTAACCATCAGAAAGTCAGAAGTATAGCTGTGGCTCAAGTGGTAGAATGCTAACCTGGGGCAAAAAAGCTCCAGGACCAGGAAAAAAAATTAAGAAACTATAATTTGTCTAGTTTATTTGTATGAATGAAAAAAGAACAATGAAATCTGCTGAAATAGTTTAAGGAAGAGGGAGGGGATATGAGAGTAACAGGGTAAGATCAATTGGAATATATTATTTACACATGTGAAGATATCACAATGAAACTTCCCTTGTACAACTAATATATACTAAAATAAAAATAAAAGTCAGGTGCTAGTGAGCCATACCTGTAATCTACTCAGGAGCCTGAGATCTGAAGATCATGGTTCAAGGCCAGCCCAGACAGGAAAGCCTATGACACTTTTATCTCCAATTTACTACCAAAAAGCCAGAAGTGGAGCTATGACTGTAAGTAGAGTGCTAGCCTTGAGCAAAAAAGCCCAAAGACATCACCCAGCCCTGAATTCAAGCTCCAGGACAGGCACAAAAATAAAACCTAAAAGGGAAAGGAAAGTCAAAAAAAAAAAAAACACTACAATTTGTCTATTTGGGGGTATTATCAAAAGTGAATAACCCCCATTTTCTGAAAAAACTAGAGTATTTTTTCCTTTATTTTTGGACAAATTTTCTTCAACTAAAACAGCATAATGCAACAAACTCACTTTTGCAGCAGCAAAAACAAGTCCAGACATTAAAGAGATTTTTAATACGCAAAACAGTGTTACTGATCATCTCATTTTTTTGTTTTGAAAAATAGTTTTTTGTTTTTGTTTTTGGGTCCGGTCATGGGGCCTGCACTCTGGGCCTGGGTGCTGTCCCTCAGCTCTTCAGCTCAAGGCTAGCACTCTACCACTTGAGCCACAGCACACTTCCAGCTTTTTTTATGCTTATGTGGTGCTGAGGAATTGAACCCAGGGCCTCAAGCATGCAAGGCAAGCGCCCTACCACTGAGCCACCTTCCCAGCCCTGTTTTGAAAAATAGTTTTCCCCATTAAAATTTTGTTACTTTTAAATGAAGTAATTTATATTTTGAATAATTTAGTAGGTAAATATCTTCTTATCTTAGTCTTTTAATTTCTAATAGCAAATGTCATCATCCAACCAATACAACACCAGTTTCTGGGCTCTCTTTATTTAGGACAAATAAAGAGATCCTGAGACTAAAGCATCTAAAAGTTACTGATATGGTCTGAATTCTCACCCAGACAAGCAGTGATGGGACATCACTTAGCACATGACCCTACCCTACTCCCAGCCTGCTCCAGCATGGAGGGGCCAATAGCCACTGGCAGATTAGCAAGGGATATCAAGCTTCTATTAGCATATGACTACCCTACTCCTAGCCTGCTCCAGAGCAAGGGAGCTCAGAGCCACAAGCAGCTTCTGCCAGCAAGGGGCCAGCTGGCTTTCAGGAGTCTAAAAGGCAATCCCACAACACTCAGTTTAGAAAGGCCAGCAGTACAAATTGCATGCTCCCTACGACATTAATGGGTCCTCACACACAGGAGCTCATGGATTCAACCCTCAATGACAAGATTTTTGCTCACATGCCACTCATCCATCAATGGAAAGTCATTACTCAAGGTGCCTGGGATATTCTGAAGTCATACCAAGGCTTCATAAGAAAAAAGTGTACTGAGATCCACTAGTAATGTCTTTCACAAGCACAGCATCATAGAGGGGCAGTCTGAAAGCCCCACATTTGCCATCCTGGGACTGGGACATTCCCTACCTCTATGTGTGAAAAAACTCTTACATTCTACCCCTAAGACTTCTCTGTACAAGTTTAAACATCTCAAGCTTAGAATTTTCTCCAGATACTTCATCTTCCCAGCCTATTTCCTGTGGACTTTGTCCAGTGTGTGATGCCCTTCTTCAACAAGACACCTAAGGTAAGACGTGGCATCGCAGTGTGGCCTGAACCACAGGGGAGGCAAACTCTCCTACCCTTCATCTGACCCCACCCAGGCCAGAAAGGATCTCATATAACTGCCTTACAAAAAGAGACAACAGCCACGAGAAATGAGAACTCTGAGCCCAGATCCCACAGGATTCGGCAGGGGCAGGGAGAGGGCCTATGTGAATCAGGAGAAGACCCCCACAGGATCAGGCAGAGGCAAGGAGAGGGTCTATATAAATCAGAAGATCCCACAGGATCAGGCAGAGGCAGGGAGAGGACCCATATGAATCAGAAGAAGGTCCCACAGGATCAGGCAGGGGCAAGGGAAGACCCACAGGATGGGAAAAAACAGGGACAGGGAGAGGGCCTATGTGAATCAGGAGACGATCCCAAGGATCAGGCAGAAATAGGGAGAGGGTGAATGTGAATCAGAAACCCCCACAGGATTGATCAGAGACAGGAAGAGGGCCTATGTAAATCAGGAGAAGTTCCCACAGGATCAGGCAAAGGCAGGGAGAGGGTCTACATGAGTCAGGAGAAGATTCCACAGGATCAGGCAGGGATAGGGAGAGGGCCTATGTGATTCAGGAGAACAGTGCTGCCATAAACATTCACATTCAAACATGCAGCTAGATGAGTGTGAGGAAGATGAAACAGACAACTGCCACAGCTCTGCTTACGCTTCCAGAATGGCTGGTGCTAGTTCTGCTCTGCTTCTCTGCTCTTTCTTTTGTGAACTCCTTTCACACTCACATCCTTACTCAGTAAAGTCCCCACCTAATGAGACCAAACTATGGCCCTTCCCCAAAGGAGGCCATAAAAAAAAGATGTAAAATTTTTGGAATATTTTTTGAAAGAGAAAAAACAAAAGTAAGCCCATGAAACTCAAAGGACAGGATTTTTGTTCGTGTGTGTGTGTGTGTGTGTGTGTGTGTGTGTGTGTGTGTGTGTGTGTGTGTGTGTGTGTGTGTGTGTGTGTGTGTGTGTCTGTGTGTCTGTGCGCGCACACGTGGGCACTGATCCTTGGGCCTGAACTCAAGGCCTGGGCACTACTGTGGCTCTACTACTTGAGCCACAGCTCCACTTCTAGATTTCTGTTATTAATTGGAGATAAGAGTCTGAGACTTTTCCTGCCTGGGCTAGTTTGAACTATAATCCTCAGATCTCAGACCTCTTCTGAGTACCTAGGATTACAGGTGTCAGCCACCAGCTTCTGCTCCCCTTTTTAAATAGTATGGTTTAAAGAAAAATGTCCTCTAGACAGACAAGTCCTCCACTCTTCAACTATAGAGAGACAGGTGAAAACATGTGCTTCATTCAAAATCACAGCATCCACTTCACTGACAAGATGGGTAAACTAAGGGCAGGGAAGAGATTAAGAGATGAGGCTTGCCTAAGGACCTGTGGGGTCACTTCTGGAAGATCCAGGGAAATAGAAGCATGCATTCTCTCTACCCCCACCCAGATTCCCCACTTGGGGGCTGTGAGGCCCCTACAAATACAAGTGGTCCCCCAAGCCCAGTCTAAAGACAGCAGAAACAGCAGCCCACCTGTGGGGAGTTGGCCATGGGCCCAGCCATCATGCCTCGGACAATCAGGCCAGCCTTCGGCCTGGTCTTCTCCCCTGGCCTCTTCCCATCCGTGGCAGGCTCTGGTGAAGGAAGCTGGACCATCTTCTCCCACATAGAAGTCAAGGAGGGGCTTCCACCTGGGCCTGTGGATGTGGCATTCTCTCTGTGTATGGGCCTTTTGCATGACACAGAATTACTGAGCACATCCTCATCATGACTGTCATGTCTGCAAAGGAATGTTTCTGTTAGATAGTGTCAGTCCTCTGACTCAATCAGCAACAATGATAGCAAATTCCCACCTTTAACTGTCATTCACAATAGGCCGATTCATAACTAAATAATGGTTCCTAACTAGTTAGTGCTCTACAAAAGGTAAAAAATAGAAAATACTTTGGTCTCAGAGTAAGTCCAGCCTAGGAAATAAGACCAGCAAATAAAATAAAATAATGATCATGCTAGCATCCTTCAATGCCTTGGGACTTAAAAGCATCCTTGGTCTCCCACACGAGTGACCATGGAAAACACACCACTGACAGCAGTGGAGAAAACTTATAGCAAGCTTGGTACTCCCCAGCTTTTCACAGCAGAGAGAGAAAGAGAAAGGGGAGAGAAGAGAGGAGAGGGGAGAGAGAAGAAAGAAGGGAAAGCACATGGGAAAGAGAGGGGAGAGAGAAAAGAGAGAGGTAGCACATGGGAAAGGGAGAGAAGACAATGTGTGAGAAGAATATTAAAGAGAGAGAGGGCAAAAGACTGAGCCCAGGAGACAAAGCAAGAGAAATTAGTAGAAAGGAACCCACTGGGGATAGCTTAGAAGTCAGCACTCCTCTGACTGGCAGATCAGTGTGGCTGTGGACTACCCCTGGCCTTTAGCATACCTGAGTACTGATACCTCTCCACTACACTGCCTATCAAGCCCCAAGGCACACAGAAGGGCAGCAGTCTCATTTACTGTGATTGGGACAGATTGTGTCGAGAAAAATGCTCAGGCCAGCCTAGGAACATCCAGAAGGTTCTCTAGCCAAGGCTTTCTTGAATCAAGAAACTGAGTAGGCACAGAACCCCAGGAGTGCCCCAGGCCTGCACATAGACTATGAAGCAAATGTGCTTGAGTGAGCAATGAGGGCTTGTAACAGACAAGGTTTTATAAGTTATCCTTGGGAATTCATGTTTTCTCCTAAAAGCAGCAGGAGCTGTCTGCTGCCCTTTCAGCAAGGGCCAGCCTGGCCTGATTTGTGTTGTACCAAGCTCAGAGTCTCACGTCAAATTAACTAGAGGCCTGGGGACCAGGACAGTACCCACAGAAGCAGTGCAGGGGGGACAATGGGGTAAACCAAGACCCTTGCCATCAGGGCAGGAGGAGGGAGAGGTTGTCTGTCTAGTGTCATTAGGGAAAAATAGCTGATAGGTTTCTTAAGATGTCATCCATTGTAAGCCATGAAGCCTTTGTATGTGCTGATGGTTGTGCTCCTCTGGAACGTGCTCCCTGACAGGTCCACAAGGTGTACAGTGCTTTATCATAGCATCAACAGGAAGCTGACCCCAGATTAAAATGGGAAGAGCTGACACCTGGCTTTGCTTGCTTCTGAATGTGACATTCTCCATCCTATGTCTTCATCCTCCAGGTCATATATGTTTACAAGCGTGCTCTCTGAGCATCTTAGTGGCAATCTGTTGTTCTTCTTTGGAACTGGGAGTGCAGGAATTTGAGTTTCTTGAGTTGGATTGCTATCTAAGCGATCCAGAAAGTATCTGGTTATGAGTTCAAGGCTTGTTTTTAGAGGATTTTCCTTTGCCTATTATTGAGAAAAGGAAAAAAATCATTAATTGTATGAGTCAGGGGGAGGGACATAAACTGCCTAACTTCTCACTTATGTTTTCACATTTCCATGTTTTCAGCAAACACATACTGGTTTGTATATTTGCCAGGCACTGTGTTGGGTAGCAATAAAGACAAAACCCTTACCCCAAGAAGATCTATCAACCAATGCAATAGTCACACAACTCAACAATTATAGGAAACTATGAGAACAGAGGAATGCCAGAGCAAATCTCATCTGCTTTCCCCCCAACCCTCAAGAATAACTTTATAAGACAGATGCTATTGACAGTAATCCTAGATATTCAGGAGGCTGAGATTTGTGGATCACAATTCAAAGCCAGCCCAGGCAGAAAAGTCCATGACACTCTTATCTCCAATTAACCACCCCAAAACCAGAAGCGGAGCTATGGCTCAAACGGGGTAAAGTATTAGCTTTGAGCAAAAAAGCTCAGGGACAGAACCCAGCCCTGAGTTCAAGCTCCATGACTGACCAAAAATACAAAAGAATGAAACTTCAATCAATATAAACCCGAATCAACTACAGATTCATAAGCTCTTGGGACCTGCATATTTTCTTAGTCAGTGAGCTCTACATTTAATTTTTAACACTAGCAATTAGAGACAACTGGATCAAAAGGTTAGTATGGAAAGCATAGACAGGTGGTCAGACCTACCTCAGTTTATACTCCCACCTTAATTTTTAAAAAACAAATGAAATTCTTCAGTAGCAGGACTAAATGATACCCACATTCTCTAACCTTTCCTGTGCTGTTCTCTTCAGAAGTTTTTAAAACTCCCAAGGACACGGACTCAGCCAGATCAGCAAGAATCAGAGCCTAGATTTCTCCTAAAATCCCAAGTAATTTGAACAGACATAGCTATCCAAGTGACAATCCACAGGCTGACTTTGGGCTCCTGGCCATGTCAGTGTCAGTTCTTGTAAGGTCCACTCCTAGATGGCAAGCAGACTCCACCCTCCTCGCAGCCAAGTCTCCACCCAGTACCTGCATTATCTAGGCAACTGGCACACCTGGAAGAGGTCACATCCACAAGCGCTGAGGTCACATCTGGATTCGATGTGGCCACACCTTTCTCATAGCTGGTACCACCTCCTTATACCTGGCCACACCTTCCCCCCCTTACCCTAGATAAGGCATGGCCAGAGGTCAGATGCTCTTTCCCAGCCAAGTAGAGTGCCAATCTGGCCTAGTGCCAGCTGGAACAATGAATAAACCTACACCTTACCTGAATACCACGTGCATGGTGTGGTTCTTACACAGCAGCCTCTTTAAAAACCTAACAGTTCTTAACCCATTTGCCTGGAAACAGTGAGGCCCTGATGAGCTATGGCTGGACATGTGCCATGTGGTGATGTTGCCACAGAACCACAATGTCTGACAAGAACTTAGTGAAGACCTGGCCTTGCCACACCTGCCATTGTTATTCCTCAGCTCTGGGCTGCAGAACAATCTGATCAAGACCCAAAAGACAGTGGAGGAGGACCAAATTCAACAATTGTGTCAGACAGTTAAAATCAGAAGGTGTTCTTGTTGTTGTTTAGTACAAGACCAAGAAAAATTTTTGCCTAAGTCTAAACAAAGCTTAGACTGAAGAGAGTTAAGGGAAATATGTCATTTATTTCTACCTTCTTAATTTTTCTCTCAATAAGACAGAATTGGGACCCCAATTGTCAGGATTATAACTTAGGATTTCACATCATTTGACATAAAGAGACATAGATAGCTTTCATAGGAGTCTAGACATTTTTCAAAACCTCAATTTTCAGCTAGGCATTTTAACCTACTGTATACCTATAAGGAAATTATATAGGCATTTTAATCTACTGTATACCTATAAGGGAAAACAAGTTACCGGAAACATTAACCATAAATTACAAGGTTTTCCTAGAATCATGATAGTGTTGGGCTGAATGGATGTCAAAATTATCATAAAATAGATAAGACTAATAAGCACATTTTTCTGTAAAATATAGGCTCCAATTCGTTGTATCAGAGCTAATTTACTGCAACTTCAATCAAGTAATCAAAGCACTTATTAAATCTAGTGGAAGTATCTTGTGTTTCTTAAGAGAATGGCTACTTAGGGAAACCACAGTCAGGGAGGAAATAAAAATAACATGAATGGCAAAGAAACTTCTGAAAATTAGGCAAATGTATAGTTTACATTCCAATGTACCCAAATAGTCTCATTCCTACATAAAATCTTCCTAAAATGAGCAGACTGCCCCTCTTCTGCCTCAGAACTGAGCGCCTAGAGGGGGGAGACTAGCTGCTGCTAAACCTGCAGTCTTCCTCTTCCAGGGTGGCACACAGGAGTGCATCCAGAGGACAAGGATGTCAGCCCAGCCCCAGAGAAAGGTTCTAATATGTGATAGCTCCACGAACCCTCTGGCACAACTACTACAGCCTCTACGTCTTCAGAGGGGAGCACAAGAATGTCTAAGATTTACACAGCTGTTTGAAATTCCACTTTATTCATGGTGAAACACCTGGCTTCAGGTCCTCCCTGATATATACTTAGAGATCTGCAAGTGACCAAAGGTTCCTCTGCATGTATAACAATAGCTTTGGCACAATGCCTATGTGCCTCTGATCAGAAAAAAATATAAATCTATTGAAAGGAGCTTTAAGAAATGGAAACGAGGTTTTTTCTTCCTTGTTTTTGTTTTCTTTTTGTCTTATTTGTTCATTTGTCTGTCTTTGGAAGGTAAGGGGTCGCAGAAACGGTGGGACAAAGAGTAAACAAATGCAGCAATGATATGCACTACACACTATGTCGAAAATGAACTATACAAATTGTGGGTAGAGATGGGAGGGAAAAATTGAGAGAGAGCAAGGGTAGGGATGACATTGTCCAAAAAGAAATGTACTCTTTACCTGACTTACATAGCTGTAACTTCTCCTACATCACCTTTATAATAACAATTTAAAAATTAAAAAGAAAACAGCGAAGACCTTACCCCCTACCAGTCCAATCTGTCAAGACTTCGTTTGAAAATAAGATTATGACTTTAAAAATAATAAGCCTGACCACCACTACAGTGATAGAACTGGGATCAGAACCTCTGGCTATGAGGGCTAGGACAGCCACTTTTCTCTCCACCCCCCTCCCCACTCCCCATACAGTAGCTTCAAAGCTATTCCCCTGAGCCCTAAGGGTCCAGCCCAGAAGGCCAAGGCAGGACCTCTCCCCCCCACTTCTAACAGCATGGTGTCCTACTTTGCATACTGGATTTCCACCTGGGATATCATTGCAGTGCCTTGCTTGCTAACTTACAGTAGATGCAGAACTACATGATCAATTGCCAGTTTTTTCCTGGCTCTGACAATATACCCATCCCTAGGCAGGCTTTGCTGGAGAACTTATTTTTTAATCCAATGAAGGCTCTATCTTCCAACCAGAAAGGACAATCAAGTCAGAATTGTAGCTACATTCATGTACTCACTCATCTGCCAATCATTAACTCATTCTACAAATATTTATTGGCTTCTCACTATATCACCAGACAATGTGTTACATATGGGGGCACAAGAGTGAAAAAAGAGAATCTCTGCCTTCTGCTAAATCCAAGGCCATGGGGGAGGCAGACACTGAGCAACCACAGAAATACTCTTGGGCTCTTGTGACAAACGAGAGTGCTACAGGCTCGCCAAAGCAGTCACAGTGGGGCAGGTCAGAGAGGCCCTCCAGTAGAGGAAGTGCAGTCCATCTGCTTTCTCAGCTCCTGCTTCTCTGAATTATGTCACCAAACCCTTAAGACCGAGCCATCACTCAGACCAAAGATAGGAGGTCATATGCATTAGGGGATGAAAATTTGCAGTATAAGTGCATGCTATATTCTTATTAAAATACCCTCGTTGTGGGAAGGAGCACAAGGGATGACTGTCAGAGGCTGGGCTCAAAGTAAACATAAAGACAACTAACACCACAGTCTGCTTCTCTCTCTGCAGGCAGGGCTGGCCAGCAGTCCCCCAAGCCTGTGCCAGAGCTGGCAGAGCCCTGAATGCTTTGGCAGGATCAAACTTGGTGGCACTATTCACACCACATCTTAAAGCACACACCTTGTTTTCCCTGTATAGAAATTCGAGATGCAAAACCTTACGGAGGTCCTGTCTGCTGTTTATGCTGAGGTCAGAGCGTGGGCGTTCCTGGTCCATGGTCACACACGTCTTCTTTAAGCCCTGAGGGAAGAGGTCTGAGTCACAGTTTGCCATTTTAAATCAAAACCTTCCATTCTCTGACGCAGTATAAACCAAAGTCTGCTGGTATTCATTATAATCGGCCTCTTCTGGCCTTCCTTACAAGGGTATGCAAGGATCAAACACATTTTTTTCATTTTCACATAACCTTTATACTCAATGTCATTTTTGCAACTATTATTCAGATCTTACAGTGTCCTAGTGAGGTCAGCCAAGGCTGTCAACTCACTTTAGACAAGGAATAAAATGCAGGACCCCCATGACAGCCAGTCCTAGGTCCCACACAGCTCCCTTAATCTCTATCTACTCAACCACTGGCCCTGAACCAACTATGTGCCAGCTCTATTCTGGTTGTACAAATGCAGCAGGAATAAGAGCTAGTACTCTGTTGGGGAAGAGACCCTAACTCTGCAGTATGGAAACAAAACATGAAAGAAGATTGGGAGATGAGGGGCAAAGGTCTCCATAGGGAGATGAGGGGCACTGGTCTCCAAGGGTTTCAGTATGCAAATATCATGGAAAGTCATTTTGTGGTCACTTCTGTCTTCTAGTTTCTGCCTCTGAATCTTAGAGAATGAACCACAAGTGAACTATTCAAGCTACTGGAGGTCAGGATCAGGTCAAAATCAACCCCTCATACAGCATACATTAGAGGGAGAAAGACAATAGTCTAATATGCTATGAAAACATCTACATGTTAGGGTAAGGAGATGAGGGGGCAGGAGAGGGTGTGGGGAAGGGTTTCTACTTTATAGAAGGTGTAGTGACAACGAAAGGAGATATAAAAGGTGATAGGGAGCAGCCATTCAGACATGTAAAGGAACAGTGTTCCAAGCAAGGAACAACAACTGCGAGAACTTGAAGAGGCTCAAGAGCCAGTATGTCTAGAGCCTCAGAGCCAGGGACAACTTCCAGAGCCATGGAAAGGCCATGGTGGCTTTTGTGAAATGGAAAGGGTCACAAGACAATGTAAGGATGTGGTAACTTTTATTTTTAATTGCTTGGATGCTAGGTAGAAATAGATGGAGGAGGCAGGGGGCTAAGTAGAAAACAGCAATACACATTGAAGAAGGGTGGCCTAGACCACAGCATCTGTGGCATAAGCAGTAAGAAGTGGCTTCATTCTCCACATGCTAGATGGTAAAGCCATCAGACTAGCTGACAGGCTAGATGGGAGAAGTACAAGAGACTAGCCCTTACCCATGAGGCCAGCATGCATTCTAGGGGATGTCAGACTGAACTGAACACTCACCCAGCAAGTATCCAAAACCTTAGAGACATGGCTTGTTTTACATAGGCAGCTATTTGTGGATCATTAGGGGAGGATCTCTAGACAAATAGAGACAGGCTAATAATTGAAATGTTTACTAGACATCCAAGTAAAAATGTTACAGATATAGAAGGAAAGAATCTGAGCTCAAGAAGTCAATTAGAGATGGGCATTTGAGAATTGTCAGCACACAGGTGGTACTGGAACTCATTGCACTGGGTGAGATGCCTCAAGAACAAGTGAGAGAAGAAGAGGAAACAGGCTGGCCTTTGGGCCCTGCCACATGCACAGGTCAGGGAAGGCAGGGGTAACTAGGAAGGACCCCTAGAAAGGTCCACCTGAGAGAAGGAAAGAAAGCTCGGAGGAGACAAGAGAAATCAACTGTGGCAAACACAACCATTATATCAGAAGGAAAAGGAGTAAAAATGAGAGGTCAGTGATGACCTTGACAAGAGCAGTCTCTGTGGGCAGGGGAAAAAAAAATCTGATTGAAACAAGTCTCAGAAAGTGAGAACAGGGCTGGGAAGGTGGCTCAGTGGTAGAGCACTTGCCTTGCATGCTCGAGGCCCTGGGTTCGATTCCTCAGCACCACATAAGCAAAAAGAAAAAAGCCGGAAGTGGCGCTGTGGCTCAAGTGGTAGAGCACTAGTCTTGAGCTGAAGAGCTGAGGGACAGCGCCCAGGCCCAGAGTTCAGGCCCCAGGACTGGACCCAAAAAAAAAAAAAGAAAAAGAAAGTGAGAACAGTGTTAGAATGAGAGTACACACAGCTCTTCCATGAGGTTTTCTTACAAAAGGGAAAAGACTAGTGGCTGTATGGGTCTGAGATAATGTTAGCACATGTTTTGACTGTAGGAATGCGATATGTGCTAATACTAGATAAGGAGAAATATGTCCAGCAAAAGCTGTGAGGATGGTAATGGGCCATGCCTCAGGGCCTGAACAATGGGGAAAGCACCCACAAGGGTTTTATGGTGTCCAGGGATCCATCCCCAGGAGCACGAGGGAAGATGCTGCTTATTTTCTCCATGAAATTATGAGAAAGAGCTCTGGGGTTTGAAAGAAAACATTAGGAATGTTAATCCAGCACTAGAGAGGTATAACCAGGTAGACAGCCTTCCCCAGTACACCACAGGGGGAGTGGTGGGAGATGTAAAGCTATGCGTCAACATGGATCTCATCCAGCTGTGCAGGTGCAGGCAGATCAGAGGACTAAGATGGAAAGAGAGCAGGATGGTGGAGCTCCTATAGAGCACACATTCTATTAGTGGGAGGGATTCTAGATGTGGAAGGGACTACAGGAAGGCAGGGGTAGGGTGGCTACATAAAGTTGGCAGGAACACAGGACTTAAGATGCAGAGCAAGCTGAAGAACAGTTTGTGCAGGAGCAAAGAGGGGGATAGGCCAGAAACGACAACAGGTGGGGTGCTTGGAGCTGGTCTGATGGAAAAGACGCTGCTGGTGACAGCCCAAGGTATGACTACAAGACAGGGTGGCAGACATCAGATAGAGGACAAAGTAATGGGAGTGAACCACATACACAAGGAGGCTGAGGCACCAGATGGGTCAATTCATGGATCCTATTCACCAGAAGACCATCATTGATGTCCTCTTGAGTTCAAGAAGCTACATGCAGGCAAAGGGTCAGGGCAATGTGGACCAACTGGAAGATGAGTTCCAACTGATAGATGGCTCACAAAAAGCCTTGTAGTCTAATGATGGTGGAAAGGAAAAGAGGACTATGTTGTGTCTATGTCTGTAACCAGATCTATGTAACCCAGGCTCATGACCCTCTAGCCGCAGCTTCCAGAGCACTGAGATTGCGGCATACACCACTATACCCAGCCATTTAAGGGTTTTGTGCAAAAGGGGTAACATAGTCTGGACAAATTTCTTAGCCTCCTAGTCTCATGAAAGGAAGAGGTATAAGTATAGCTCTGTTAGAAAGAGTTGGAAGCCAGGCACCGGTGGCTCATGCCTGTAATCCTAGCTACGCAGAAGGATGAGATCTGAGGATTGCAGTTCAAAGTCAGTCCAGGCCCAAAAGTCTGTGACTCTTATCTCCAATAAACCACTCAAAAAACTGGAAGTGGCATTGTGGCTCTAGTGGTAGAGCGCTAGCCTTGAGCTGAAGAGCTGAGGGACAGCACCCAAGCCCAGAGTTCAAGCCCCACGACCGACCAAAAAAAAAAAAAAAAAAAAAGAAAGAAAGAAAAAACAAAGAGTTGGATAAGTGAATAGGTATCTAGGGTGAGAATTCTTGTGGTTATGACTGTGCAAAGTGATGTGAGGAACATAGGGTCTCTGCTAGAGCAGAGGCCATAAGAATAGACTCCACATAGAGCTTCCCTATGAACCAGCAATCCCACTTTTGGGTATTTACCCAAATGATCACAAACAAGACCATACTAAAGCTACCAGCACAACTATGTTTATTGCAGCATTATTTACCATAGCTAAGATATGGAACCAACTCAGATGCCTCTCAGTAGATGAATGGATCAAGAAAATTTGGTATATATACACAATGGAATTCTATGCCTCCATCAGAAAGAATGACATTGCCTCATTTTTAGGAAATGGAAAGACTTGGAAAAAATTATATTAAATAAAGTAAGCCGGGCCCAAAGAAACATAGGTCCCATGGTTTCTCTTATTTGCAATAACTAGTATATGTCTGAGACAAGCAGAAAAGGTCAGATATGTTGATTTTAGGTGAAATGAACCCCAAGATAAGTATTCAAATGTTTTTTTTTCTTTCATGCGATTGTTTCCAACATATTGATAAGATGATTTCTTTGTTGCTTTGTATGTCACTCCCCCACAGTATAACTCCTGTTTTCACTGTATTTGGTGTTGGTATAATTTGTGGAGGGGAAGGGCAAAAGCAAATCATTTAAATAGGGATACAGGTAAACTCGTTGCAACAATGAGATGTACAAGTCCTTATGTCCAAAAATGAACTTTACAATTTTGGTGGGGGGAAGGAGGGGAATGGGAAGGGATAGGAAGGGGAAACAAAGGAGGAGGCAACAATGCTTGATAAGAAATGTACTCATCTTGCCCATGTAATTGTAACTCCTCTGTACAGTATTTTCATAATAATAATAATAAAAGAATAGCGGTCACAGCTCTTGTGATTTTCTGAGTGGTTGGGGACAAGTCCTTAATGACATTCAGGCACAGGTCAGGTGGCTACAAAATCTCCAAGGAGGGAAACAAAGGAGGAGGCTACAATGCTTGATAAGAAATGTACTCATTATCTTGCCCATGTAATTGTAACCCCTCAGTACAGTATTTTCACAATAAAAATAAAATAAAATAAAAATTAAAAAAATAAAAATAAATAAAAATAAAAAAGTTGTATGAGAAAAAAAAAAAAAATCTCCAAGAAAAGATGTTAGCAAAATGAGTCCCTTCCCATAGCTTAATCCACTACTTCCCTTCTCCACAGCTTAGCATACCCGTTTCCTAGGCAACACCAGGCCCATATAGTAAAGGCAGTAAATAACCAACTTCCAACCCCCTTTACCTTGGGATGGCACTTATCTGGGGCAGCTACCACCATAGAAGGCAACAAGAGCCCCTTAGAGTGACCTTTAGGTCTGGACAATTGCAGGACCCTTATCTACTATTGGACAGCAGCCATAAATCTAGTCTGCCATGATGAAGCCCCAGGCCCACACTTCCACACTCGGGTCTCTGCCTCCTAGCCCCTTCTAGGCCCTCCTAAACCCCCTAGATTATATAGACCACCCCTAAACCCCCTAGGTTATACAGGCCACCCTAGACAATAGCCGGTGATTCTTCTCATTCCTCCTTTGTGAGGAGTCTTGCTGGCCCCCTTTCCCGGCAATAAACATTTCTTTGTTCTCTGTACCTGGATTGTCTGCGTGGTTCTCTGGCAAGGTCTAATTAATCTTATTTAAGCTGAGAATAGATGATATACAATTCAGAGGTCAGTTTTTCAGTCCTGAGACAGATAGATTTGCTAACTATAACCTAAGTAAGGCAACTGATGAGACAGACTACTGAAATCATCTGCAAAGAAGTCTGGAAAAACTATGACTAAAGATGAATCAGGGCAGAATACAGCAAAACATAGGAGAGAAGCCAGAATAAGAGTGGGAAGATAAACTGTAGGCACCCGTGGATTTCATCTGTGCTCCAGAAAAGAAAGACAGAAGAAAGCTCTCAGTGGGAGTTTTCTTGGTAACCAAACTTAAAATGAAATAAATTACGATAAGCACACAAAAGTACTTCCAAAAGAGATGCTTGATGGGGAAGCAGGTGTAAAGCTGAATAGCATGCTAATGCACACGTTGTGTCTATGTCAGAATCATGAGTGACGTGTGCGAGCTCACTGAAAACTAGCATCGAGTATCTGAACCTTCACTAGGTTAACTTCAGTCCTTACTCTTTGCTCCATTCAAAGCAGTGCATGTGTGCGTGTTGTCCATGTGCCCTGGGCCCAGCTGAATGTATCACAAGGACACCCAGAACCGGCCAGTATCCTTAGCTCTCGGTCACTTGGTGCAAAGCCCAAACTCCATGCCGGTGACCCCAGTTCCCGCTCCCCTTTTCCTGAAGTGAGGGCTCAGGTCCTCCACTTGCAAACACTTCCAAAACCCCCTGGGACAAGACAACGGCAAGACGCACAAAAATCTCTTCCAAGAATCGATGCATTGGCGGGAATCCCCCGAGCTAAAAACCTGAGCCCTTTGTACATGGATAACTTTGGGGCGCCCCGGAAGCACTCCGGTGGGTCTGCCGGGGGTGACCCCGCCGGCCTGCGAAGCCCCTCGCCCCGCGGAGCCCGCCCGGAACCCCCCGGCCCCGCCCCCCAAACTGCGGAGGCCGCTCGGGATTCCCGCCCGCCTGCGGGGCATCTAGCCCGGAGCCGAGACCCGAGAGGCCAGGCTCGTCGGGCTATCGGAAGTGTGGGCCGTAACGGAAGTGAATCCGAGAAACGAGTCCCATCGGAAACGTGGCCCCCGGAAGATTTAGTTCCCCCAGGGATCAGGCCCTGCGGCCCCCAGCGGCGGCCAGGCTGCTCCTCCGCGGAGGCCCTGGTGCGAGGCCCAGTCGGCCTTACCTTCCTGCTGAGAAACTCCCTCACCAGCGAGGCGGCTACCTCCTCCACGAAAAGGCCGTCCATGCTGTGCCGCTGGTCTGCAAGCCACGCTGGACGGGGACCCCGGCCTCTGAGTCGGTTGCGCTCAATATGGCCGCGTTGCCGTGACAACGGCAGCAGCGGCGCCGGCGATAGCCCCGCCCATATCCCCGGCCTAGGCGGGGCTGAAGGGAGGGGCCTCCCACAGGCGGGCGCGCTGGCTCCGCCCCTTTTACGGATCTGGGCGGGGTCTATCTCAGGCAGATGCACTGGCTTCGACCCCTTCCAGGGCCTAGGCGGGGCTGGAGTGAGAGACCTCCCGCAGGCAGGGAGGCTGGGACCTCCTCTTTCCAGGAGCAGGAAGGGTGGGGCCTCCCGCGAGGCGAGGAAAGGCTGGCTTTGCCCCTTTCCCGGGCCGGAGCTTGAGGGAGGGGCCTCCTGCGGGGAACAGAGAGGAAGGGGGCTCTCGCGGGCGGCCTAGCTAGCTCCGCCCCTTTCCGGGGAGGGCGGGGCCCGGCGGGGGAGGGGCATGGCTCCGCCCCGTAGGGGCGGGACGGTAAGGGAGGAGCCTCCCGCTGGTGGGCGGGCTGACGCTAGTGGGCGTTGCTCCTGCTTCTTGCCCTTGCCCTTGGGGAGCTGAGTGGCAGTCGGGCCATCCCTTAGGCCGCACTTAGCACAGCAGCCTGTAGACGCCTGACCCCTTGCCCCGGGTGCTCGCACCCCGCTTCCTAAAGGCTGAAGATAAGGGCCAAGACCCTCTGCCCCTTGGTGCCTTGAGCACCAAGAGCTAGCTGCACACACATCACCTTAACTTATCCTCGCAACTCCTGGCCCTGAGATTGCTTCAGACTGGCAGGTCCTGCAGCTGTCAGGCAGGTCCTGTAGCAGGCAGTCAGCTAGGAACAGGACCAAACGCATCCCATCTAGTGGTGTCTTCCCCACACTTGCTCACCTGCCCCCTCTGCACTCCACCAGCTGCCAACCAACGAAGTTATTGTCTCTCGGATCTGGAGCCTGGAGTCCAAGAGTAAAATGTCTGAGGAATTATTTCTTGGACCCTTGACTATGGCTCAATCTTTTTTTTTCTTTTTTCTTTTTCTATTTTGTGGGGGTTGTGGGGCTTGAACTCAGGCAAGGCTGGGCACTGTCTCTGTTTTTGCTCAAAGCTAGCACTCTATATTGAGCCACAGCTCCGCTTCCGGTTTCTGGTGGTTAGTTGGAGATAAGAGTCGCACAGAATTTCTTGCCTACCCTGGCTTAAAACATGCTCTCAGCTTCCTGAGGATGCTAGTGTTACAGGCTTTCAATCGTTTCATTTTTACAAGTCTTCCTTCTACCAGTCAGAACAAGAATGTCCCTGAGTCATATCCAATTAACCACCAAAAAGCCAAAAGTGGAGCTGTGGCTTAAGTGGGAGAGCTCCAGTCTTGAGCAAAAGGAGCTAAAGAACAGCACCTAGAGCCCCGAGTTCAAGCCCCTGTATTGGTACACACACACACACACACACACACACACACACACACACACATACACAGAGTCTTCCATAGATTCTTGTCCTAGTTACCTCCTCTTATAGGACACTAGTCACATAAGAGTAGGACTCAACAAAAATGACCACTGTCTCCAGTATAGTCAGAATCTGACATATGAGAGACAGATTTGAACATGTGAATCTAGGAGCCCCAACTCAGCCCATATATCCATACTATTACTTGTATATCATTTTCTTCAAACTGATATGCACATTAATAAATACTTTTTCGAAGAAAAGGATTCCCAAACAATAATTGCCCATATGAAATCAGAAGTTTACTAAATGTTTACTAAATCTCTGTCAGAGAGGTGGGCCTAAAGGGGCAGCCTCTGATCAACAAGCCTTGTACACATAAACTGACATGTGGAACTGAAACCCCATTGTGCAACTACTTAAAGATAGTAAGTCAATGAATTTTTTTTTTTTTGGTTGGTCATGGGGCTTGACCTCTGGGGATTGGGCACTATCCCTGTGCTCTTCAGCTCAAGGTAAGCTCTCTACCGCTTGAGCCACAGCACCACTTCCAGTTTTCTGGTGGTCAATTGGAGATAAGAGTCTCACAGACTTTTCTGCCCGGGCTGGCTTTGAACCGTGATCCTCAGATCTCAGCCTTCTCAGTAGCTAGGATTACAGGTGTGAGCCACTGATGCCCAGCAAAGTCAATGAGTTTTTTAAAGAATCTCATATTGCATGCTTGTGCAGTATCTACAAAATACAACTTCATGGCACACACTGACCCCAAACCAGATTCAGCCAAGATGGACTCTGATCTCACTGGCCACCATCTCAGGAATTCAGGGCAACATCCTCATGCTGAATCTTAGCCAGAGGGATCTAAGTGAATATCCCCAAGCAAGGGGGATCTAAGTGAAGATTCCTCAATATGACATACAGTGTTGCATCTTTCTGCAAAGTTAAAAGGAATTTAAAGCAAGAAACTAAAATTTGTGAGAAAATAGAGCTTTAGTAAAATGAATAATAAAACAAATTTTTAAATAAAAAAGCAAGGAAAGGAAACTGGCTGGATTCGGGAGACAAGTGGCAGGGGAGACGCCCACAGGAGGATGGATATAATCAATTAATAGTTCTTGATTAGGGCATTTCTTTCATAAGCCTTGTTGAATTGTTTCTATTTACTGTAGGTAATAGAACGGGGCTTGCAGGAACAATGACAGCAATATATCATGATCAGGGAACATGCTTACTTAATTCTGCACATTAAGATACAAAAAGAGAGGAAGGGAACAAAATCTAATGGGCATCACCTCACAGGGATCATGCAGAAGACCTAGCCATGGCATAACTTTCAGAGGAGCAGTGCCTATGTGCATCCACTGGCGTATGAGGCCGTATGCCTCTCTACACAGCTGCAATGTAGTTCATCTGTGAGTCAGTAAGCACAATGTATGTGGAGTCCAGGCACGAGGGTTTGTGGAGCCCCTGAATCCCAGCTGGCCCCTGTATGGTTCTGGGATCAGGAGGCTTCAGGTATGTTGTGGGGTTGATACTGGAAGGAAAGACCTGCCATCCTGGGGGAGGGGTTTTACAGCAGTGTGGATCCAGTATTGCCTCCACTCAAGAGGAGGAACTGACCTGACCCAAGGCTCCTTCAGGCCCAGATAAGAGGCAGTGATGCATAGCACAGCAGGAGGTGTCTGCTGCAGAATTCCACACACCACCCCCCCTTTGCTGGGGAAGCTCTGTCCTTTCTTCTCTTCAGGCTTTCCAGTGATTAGATTTGTGTTAACCAAATTCCAACATCCCTTCATCTTTAACAAACTCAGTAGGTGCCTCCTCTTATCATCAGTTACTGGATAGGCAGTTACACAGCACCATTTGGTACAGAGCAGGCCCTTTTCTCACTGAACAGGAAATACCCCAGAATCCAGGCTCTAAGAAATCCAGAAAAGGGGAAGATTGATATCTAATATAATAAAAGGATACGAATGATGATGAAATATGAAAGTTTATATCCTGTGGAGTCATTTTCCCACAAACTAAACCTTCAAATAAACTCTGGGTGTCTTTGGCTCTCGGGGAGGACCCTGCCCTTCCCCTGTGACACCCAGGGCCTTGTGCGCTCTGTCTGATCTTAGGAGCAGATCTGCGCTGGCCCCAGGGGTCCAGGCAATTCCTAGGCCTTTCCAGTATGTGGGCATCCATCATGAATCTAGAACAAAATGAAAGGACAGTGTACTTGACTGGACAGAGGGCCGGGCTTGGTGTCGGCCTGCACTATACTTGTGGTTTTGAGGCCTCAAATATGAACTTGATTTCCATGGATTCTACCAGAGCCACAAGGCCTACCTGGGCCCAGGACCCATGAGGGCATCACTATCCATGCTGAGATGATGTGGGAACAACAGAAGACCCTGTCTCACAGTGGGCGTGCAGTGAGTGTGAATGCCTGACTGTGACCTGAGGCGGGAGGACCCCATCTATGCTGGGAGGTGAGTATGAGAACCCTTTTCTTTTTTGGTCAGTCCTGGAGATTAGACTCAGAGCCTATGAGCTGTCCCTTAGGTTCTTTTGCTCAAGTTTAGCACTCTACCACTAGAACCACGGTGCCACTTCAGGCTTTTTTATTGGGGGGGGGGGGCGGTTAATTGGAGATAAAAAGTCTCATGAACTTTCCTATGCTGGATGGCTTCCAACCTTGATCCTCAGCCTCCTGAATAGCTAGGATTACAGGCATGAGCCACCAATGCCTGGATTATGACACTCTTTTAATACAAAACCTTACTTGACATCATTGTAGATTCTGATGCAGCTGCAGGAGCATCCTTCACCCAGAGGCCTCAGTGGTGACATCTTTCAGAGCAATGGTGGAGATCAGGAGTTAGGCAGGGAGTTAGCAAGCCTGACCACTGAGAATTGTGGCCTGTGTAGAAAATAATCATCCTGCACTGCAGACATTCATGCAACTGTGATGTACTCAGGATTTGCTTACCCACAGTCCCCCCAATCGTGAAAATGGCAGCCAGTCCAAGGCCAAGAACTCCCCTCATGGCACATGTGAGGATCAATTACACACTAACACAGTTTTCCAGCATTGATCACCTCTGTCTTTGCAGACCCCAATAAAACTTAAGTTCTTGGGCCCCTCTGCATGGTTTCCTTCTTGAACCTGCCCGTTCTGCTGTGTGGTGAGCATCCTTGGGCTTTGCCTTTACTTGGCTGTGCATTAATAACTTCCCTCTGCTTACCTCTCCTCTATGTCCACCCAAGAAGTTTCTGGCCCCCAGATCCAATGACCCAAATCATGTGAGAGTACCAGCTCACACTCAAGACCCTGGGGTGTCTATACAATCTGTTTTCCCGAGTTATTCCTCTGTGTGTGTGTGTGTGTGTGTGTGTGTGTGTGTGTGTGTGTGTGTGTGTATGTGTGTATGTGTATGTGAATGTGTGTGTGAGAGATAGGGGGGATTGTGGTATTATAACACACATTTGCAAATGCAGGGCTTCCCATGTTTTTCAGAAGCTCTAAGTTCACTCCTATACATAAAGGAAAGATTTAACAAATGAACTGATGAACAGGATTAAGGTAG